GGGGGCAAAGATCCCCCCAAAAATGTAAGATTATATCTGAACAGCCCTAAAACCACGCTGGTCACACTTGCTCAACATCTGCTGTGTTAAGGACCTGACGCGTGTGTCAGGGAACAAACTGTTTTTGTACACCATGCAACCTCCAAGCAGTTGATTGCAAAAAAAATTTTTTGAGTACCGTAGAGATTCACATTTGACTTTTGATTTTGATCTTAACAAAACTCACGTTGGTTACTTTGATTACAATGAGCATACCAACAATGTATTCCAATAATTCCTTGACATTTTTAGCTATACACGTCTTGCAAATTTTCTTGCAACTTTTGTTGATTTTTCTTGCAACTTTTTGCAACTTTTGCTATTTTCAAATGCGACTTTCTCTGAGGACAGGTATACTGCCTCTGAATACTGACCAGTTTACCTCTCACTTGATTTTTGTAGACTTTAGTCATTATCTATTTTTTAAAATTAGTAGAGGTTTTACAGCGCTCGCAACTGCATTATAAGGTCATATGAGCGCCAGAAGATTAGGTTACTAGAGAGTAACACACATAAAAAAAGAAGAAGGGGAGATAAGGACAATAGATGTTTGATAGGAAATAAGAAGCAAACCACACCAGAGCATCTGCCAACCACCCACTCATTATCTGTAGTAGAGATGATAGTAGTATAGCAAGTTAGTACTTTAAAAAAAAATCATGTTTTACTGCCTTTGATATTTATGACTACTTATAATATTCTCCTTTTCCCCTTTTCTACAGGACGACAACGGTGACACACGTCTGCTTCGAATAAAAATTGTTGAAGGTGTCAATTTGGCAAAAAAAGACATTTTTGGTGCCAGGTATTTTTTTTCGTATTGTTTTCATTCTGTTTGTTTTTCCTTCTGTTGTTTTACCGGAATTTCTTGGTATATATATATAAGTTTCTGTAACGTATTTATTCTTTGTGTAAATTAATTTTCCACTGTAAAGTTATCTTGGTCCACTGTTTGTGAACAAAAATTGTAGTTGATTTTGAATGGTTTAGAAAGTTGTAAATTGTGATCTGATGCAGAAATGGGGATTTTGAATAGGAGTCTTAAATTGTCTTTGAAATCTTCCTTAGTTGTTTTATGACGGAATATATATTGAAAATTGATGCCTCTTCCATGTTTGTTGCAAGAAGTTTTCTTCTTTTTTTAAAATAATTTTTTAATGTTTGGGAATTGGTGCTGAACTACTTGTTGCATAAAGGATTCATGACTGCTTGATCTAAAATCACAAAGGGTTGCTCTTGTTTGTTGAAAGTTTTGTATATGAAGAGGGTGTAGTGCAGAAGTGTCTATATTTTAAAAGATAATGTAATGATTTGAAATTTATATAAACATCTTAAGGGCACAAGCCATTCACAGTTTTTACTTTTGAACTGGATATTAACTTATTATGTTAAATCATAATTTTCGTAGAATTTCTTTTTAACCGAAGAATGCATTGTTTTTGGCTTTAATTGTTTTTCATATATATATATATATTCCTCAGTGACCCATATGTGAAGATTTCATTGCTTCAAAATGAAGTACTTGTGGATACAAAGCAAACATCTGTGGTTCGAAAGGTACACTATTTTAGACTCTCTTTAAGGTTGTTGTGTTCTTTGATGGGTGTTTACCTACATAAACATGATATGATTGTGGCGTAAGCTTTCTGACAATGGCAATGTTGTGACAAGGACAATGACAATCTTTATTCATCTCGCAAAGAGAAATTTGTCTTGGTCATTAACAATGGCAGTAAACGTTACAAAGGTTAGGTGCACTCACGCATACACTCACAACAAGACAGGACATTAGTAAATACATGACAATCCGCTCCTTAAAACAATCTCTCTCTCTCTCTCTCTCTCTCTCTCGCTCTCTCTCTCTCTCTCTCTCTCTCTCTCTCTCTCTCTCTCTCTCTCTCTCTTCCCCTCTCTCTCTCTCTGTTTCATTTGTAGCAGCACTGTGTGTTCAGTAACCTCACTGCATTTGGTACGAATGAATTTCTATATCTGTCTGTTCCTGCTTTTTTTGGGTTGTCTTTGTTCAAAGTCAAAGGAGCTTAGAAACATTGCTGGACAGTCATGTTATCTGACAGGAGATGATGTGTTGACTTCTAAGAATAGTGGCGGATAATGTATCATCCAGACTTCCACGTTCAGTTTGAACTAAAATGTTTAGAAAACTTTCAATGTATGATGACCAAGGACTAATTTATATACTTCGTGTGTGAAGTTTTAAGTCATGGTGAAATTATAGTCTATGTTTTTTAAAGTTTTTTTACTAATTAATTTTCTACTGTTGTTTCCATTTATTGGGTGTGTTCTGGCATTCTTTTTCAGCTGTCGTATGGCTCTTAGATAATTCTATTAGAAGAAAATTTTCTCTTGCTCTCAGTAGGATCTTTTCTTTGTCATATTCAGCAGAATGTTTATACATCCTTCTAAAATTCAGTTTATGTGTTGTAAAACTGTTTCCTTCACAGATTGTGTGTTACTAATACATATGATACGTCTTATCCGCCTTGAGAGAATAGGATGCGTTTTTAGTTTGTTTTCTTAAAATTTACATTTGTTTGAAAAAGAACATAGTGACAATTCCACATTCCTTTTGTTTTTCAGTCTCTAAATCCAAAATGGTACGAGGAATATGTATTCAGGGTAAGTTGAATGTCTTTGTAATCTTTACTTTGTGCCAGTTAACATGCTGTCATGTTTAACACCGTGGGTGGTTGGCGGATGCTCTGGTGTGGTTTGCTTCTTCTTTCCTATCAAACGTCTATCGTCATTATCTCCCCTCCTTCTTTTTTGTGATTGTTACTCTCTTGTAACTCCTCTAATCTTCGGCACCTATATGACCTTATTGTGTTGCATGTGCTGTAAAACTCTTACTAAAACTAAAACTAATGTTTAACACCTCTTTGGAATCGGACTGCGGATGAGAAAACTCATGAAGCATGACTGCTTCTTTTGGGCTATGGGCAATTATACTGGCAAGCGAAATGACCTAAACTTAAATAACGTCGAGAGTCGAAGTTTTTCCAAACATATTATCTCTATGTGTTTGTTAACCCATTGATTAGTTATGTTTAGATATTTTACTGACGATTTCTAGCAACTGTGATACGATAAGATAAGATAAGATAAGATACATCTTTATTGTCCAGATCCTGGCACATTGGTTTGGTGTTCCACCACAAGTACACACACACACACACGCACACACACACACACACACACACACACACACACACACACACACACACACACGTACACACGTGCACACACATGCACACACAAGTAGGCTTACAATCGCATGCATAATATAAATGAGCAGCAATATAAACAATAATATATTTTGATTGTGTTCAAAAAGGTATTTCATCAAACGTGAGGTACTTCATGATATTTGTATGGATGCAGACTGTGATGACGAGGTAGATATGACTTGGTCAAAGACCCTGATTCTTTGGATCAGGAGCCTTCAGATCGAGGAGAAAATGATGTAGATCTGGAACCAGTTATCATCTGTGCAGGCACTGACAGTCTTTAGGCCATTCCCAAAGGGGGTACATTTCTCGTTCATGCACAGTAGAATTGTTACTAAATGGGCTGACTCATGTCACACTCATAATTGTGCCTGATCTACAACAGGGAACTGCTGCTTTTTCTTTCCTAATCCTTACTTTTGTCATTTTCCTCTACTTCTTTTGTATGATCCGCTATTTCTGGGGTGCCTTGATAGTTGAAGCAGACCTTGTGCTGTTGAAGCTAGAGAGGTGAGCAGAGTAAGTCTGATTCCCTGTAAAGACTTCTCTGTTGACACCCACCCCTTGGCGCTCATATGACCTAATGCAGTTTCGAGCGCCGTAAAACTCTCTACCATAAAAAAAAGAAAAGATAAGAGTAAGTTTTACATCCTTATAATATTATATTTACATGTCAAAAGTGCTACTTTTGTAGTATTTATAGGAATGTCCAAAAGGGGACTGGTTACCAAGTAATTGTGTGAGAGAGAGTTTTGTAACATGAATGTCTTCCTTGTGTTTTCCAGGTCAATCCCAGTGACAATGTCGTCATGGTGGAAGTCTTTGATTCCAACAGAGTGGTATGTTTTGGTATTTTTTTGAAAAGTTTTTTTTGTTTTGTTTGTGTGTGTGTGTGTGGGGGGGGGGTGTTTGTCATGGGGGAAGGTTTACAACTCCAAAGACAGCTGTCCTTGTTTTTAGTGCATAACGTGGGTGGTTGGCACGTGCTCTGGTTTGGTTTACTCCTTCTTTCCTATCAAACAACTCCCGTCCTGATCATTCCTCCTTCTTTTTTGTGTTTGTTACTCTCTTGTAGCACCTCTAATCTTCGGCACTTATATGACCTTATTGTGTTGCAAGTGCTGTAAAACTCTTACTAAAACTAAAAACTAAGTGCATAACCAACATTGGTCCATCATGTCCTCACGGCTTGTCATTGAGTACCTACCATGTGAGCCTTTAAGTCTAGAAGAGGAAAGACTTGAAACTTGTCCTGAGTAATAAGTAAAAGTCAGAGACTCGGAGGGAGAGCTTTGTCACACCAAACTCCAGCGCCC